AGCTATATGTTATAGTGAACCGATCTGAAATAGTATATGTGCTGAAATTAGAGCGTTGTCTTAAGAAATAATCTGTGCAACATTTCGTTAAGATAATAGCGTTTTAAATACAAGCATCGGATTTCGATTGGTCAGTTTGTATGAGAGCTATATGCTATAGTGGTCCTAATGGATTGAATAATATGTTCGGAGATCATAGCATTGTTTTCAAAAATAATCTTTGCCAAATTTGTTGAATATATCTCGACAAATAAAAAAGGTTTCTATACAAGCACTTGATTCCGAATGTTCAGTTTGTATAGCAGCTATATGCTATAGTGGTGCAATATCGACCGTTCCGACAGATGAGGAGTTTATTGAGGAGAAAAGATCGTGTGCAAAATTTTAGATGGATATCTCCAAAACTGAGGGACTAGTAGTATATAGAGACTGACATACAGCTGGACAAACAAGAAGAACCGTTATTCACGCATGTTCAAGTATTGAATAATATTTTGGCAAATTCAATTGAAAATTCGTATTTAGAGAAACCGGTTCGATCTCAATTTAAAGTTTAGAAGTTTAGAGTTGCAATCTTAAATTTTAGTCGCTTTTCGATTAGAAGAAGCCTTTTGATATAGTCAACAATTTAAGGTTATGTGTAAAATAGGTTAGAGGTGTTCCGAGTCCTTTATTTGCAGTGTCTAGGTTTTAAACTAATAAATGTAGTTCGTGAACAGAATTGTTTAGTCAAACGATTCAGGTCAACATGCCGTTAAGTAGGAGCTTTCATATTATTGGCGCAGCTGAAGTAAAACTAATTTTCACTACTTACCACATAGACTACTAAATCTGATAGTAAAACTTATGTTGGACTTCAGCTCTGTCTACTGTTTGTAGTCGAAAAGTTGACTTGAATAGGGACAACAATTTTTTAATAATTCGACTGCGTGTTTACACTTTCCGAACATAGTTATTCGAGACAATTACAGCCGATATAATATTGTTTCAATATTTTACTTTCGAAAAGAAGCTTTCGTTAAGCAAAAGCTCTTTTTATTTCCCACTTTGTGCTTTGAAACTTTATTACCATCTGATCAAATATGACTCGGACTAACCAACAAAATTAGCATTTTCACGTATTTTAATCCAAATCTTTATTGTCGTCTTCAAATAGGCTCCTCAGCCAATACAATCATGCCAACGTTGAATCCAATTTTCCATACACTTGTTAAAAGTCTCAGCTGTAGTTAGCCTATAAAGCCTTCAGCGATGGTTTTTTCGGTTTCGGCGCATTTTTGGAGCGTCATTCGCTGTCCAACAAAGTTTCGTTACAGGGTCCTTAGCTACATTCTCAAGCATTTATTTTGCGCCTCTTCTCGACGTCGCTTTTGCAAAAGATTTAGGTTTTTTGGTATGAATCTAGCATGGACAGGTTTCATACCCAAAAAATTAAGCGAAAATGTGTTGAGTCGTTTCATAAGCGATGTTGAGATCCTCTGCTATCTCTATCATGCCAACATGACGATTTTAAAATACTGTTTTTTCAACCTTTTCGATAAAGCACAAAACGCAAAACATTTCTGCAACATTTTTAACGAATTCGCGATTCCATTAATAACACAAAAATTTCAAGTAAACTAAAACTATAACTCGAAAGTTATGTCGAGAGTTTTGTTGGGAAACTTTAAGAAGCTAATTTTTTTGCAGTGAAAATCAAAGTTTTCAACCCATACGGGAGCCAGGTCAACCAAGTGAATTAAGAAACATGGTGAAGAAGTTACAACGCACCATTTCTTTAAGGCGTTCAAGCTGCTATAGCTTAAAGGGTTTAAAAATAACAACGAAGCTTACTCATACACAAAATCTAACTCGCTTTAAAGTCTTTATATTTAAAGGCATTAAAAAAATCTATATTCTATAGACACTTCTACATTTATATAACATATTGCGGCTACCATATAAATGTAAATTTGTATGTTTGCATATATATATATATATATTATATATATAAAGTATATATAAATAAATTTGAGGCATACCTGCAATGGTGCTGACATTGAATGCGAAGAAGAGTGGAATCTCATAATGGTATTGCAGAGATGTGATTGCGAAACATTCGACCGTTGGGATGTGCTCTGATTCGACATTAGCAACGGATTCATTGTACGCCATGGCGCAGCCAACGCGGCTAACGATTGTAAAAAGAACAAGAAGGGGTCAAAGGCGAGCAAGGCAAATGTTAATGCACTATATACATGTATATAGCTGCCTAAATAAATCTGTATATATGGACGTGCTAAAGCTATATAGTACACCAAAGAAATGGCTGAAGAAAATAACGAAAAATTTAGCACGAGAGCACGCGCAAGGCAGCGACAGACACGCAGAGACCACAATAAAAGCAACAGTGCAATTGTAAGTTAATATATACATATGTATATGTGTGTGTATTTGTGTTTGCGCTCAATCACGTGCATATGTCCCATAGCTTCTAGCTAGTCGGAGCCGCTAGGGCCGGTTAAAGCGGCACACAGTTGCGCAAGCAGGTCCTTAAGCATACATATGCATATATGTATAGTTATATATATATATATTGTAAATATGTATTTATATATCTAAACGGGTTTATTGTGGTCCATACGCTGCGCACGTACGTACTCTATCGGAACAAATAACGTCACGTAGACGCAGAGATTATACAGCAGCTTTTATTATTTATCACGGACATGGTGAGAGGGTGTACGAAAAGGTGGAGGGGAAACTAACGAAAACCTGCATACAAAAGAAATTGCATACATATAAGCATATATCCACACATATACATAAATATAAACATACATATATGTCCGTCTGTTGAACTCCACTATGCGATAACCAGCCAACTTCAAGCATATCCTTGGAAACTCATAAAAACCAAAGTAAGCAAAGCAGCGTACTCCGAGTATCAGATTGCTTTTACCATGTACAAGTGTATATGTGCATGTGTGTGTGAGTACAACTATGCTCGTGCGCGCTGCTCATATATTGTTGGGTGGCGCCAGCTTGTCGAGCAGTAGAGCGGTTGAGCGCTGCAGCACTGTAGTAAATAGTGTAGTAAATGAAATCAGAAATTCTGAAAAGCAGTAGAGGAAGCATGAAAATTGCTTGCTGCCGAGCATGACAAGGAGAGCTCTTCAAGGATTTTTCTTTATGGCAACACATTGCGGAAATTCTTTTAAATCTTTACCTTGCGTAGGCAACGAGCTATAGCTGTAGATATTTACGTATTCATACCTATATAATTCTAACTTAAATTTATATAAAAGTACATACATACATACATTTATATAAAATAGTATATGAGACTATGATGATACTCGTATAACAGGCTCTGATTGTATGCCTTTATAGCGGGCATGAAAAAGTAGGCATATACAAATGTACACATCTAAATGTATGTATTGTACATACATATATTTTTAAATAATATATATTTATTATGAAATCATATATATTGACCCATTTAAAATTGTTTTTATCACATAAGCAAAATAATTTTTGGGAACATATGTATATTCTTATATGTAAATATATCATAGAAGTATGTATAAGTAAAAGAGAGATTACAGCAACGTGCATTGAAATAAGCACATTGATTGAAATTACACTTAATTTACTGATAAAAAATTATTATTTTTTTTTGTATTTTCTTATATTCAGTTGGAAATTTATTACAAATATTTATTTTTTTTATTATCTAAAAGTTGAAATTACTAATAGAATTTGGTGACCAAAACCCCAAATTTTAAAAGCAAAAAAAAAAAAAAAAATCGTAGTAGAATGAAAAACAATTTGCGGGGTGATCTGTGGTCAAAAAGAGCAAGGGGAGGGGTGTGGTTGAATTTTAAAAGGTCAAAAACGGTTTATCTCGACTTCTCGTAAAAAAAAGTCATTTGTCATATAGGTTATGAAACCTTTTCATATAACTCCAAAATTTACGTAAAAATATCAAGTATCATATTTTTGAGCTTTTTATTTATAGGTTATAAAACGTTTTCACATAACCTCAAAATTTTTGTAAAAAATTCAAGTATCCTTATTTTTGGGCTTTTTATTCCTTTTTTGTACAAAAAAAATTTTTCCACCAAATTTAGTGTAAATTTACGTCCTTATGTCCCAAACACGATGTATTTTTTTTAGTTCGAATATTAAGAAAGGAATCTTATTTCGAGTAAAAATTGAAAAAAATGCTAATTTCAATCATCAACTATAAAAAGTGTATGTGATCTAAACGATTGTTTTTTGGGGATATGTAGATATAATAATATTGGATAAGAAATTGTTCCAATTAAAATTTTAGAAAACAGTTTTTTTGCAATCTGGAAAATTTTTAGTCTTGCTTGCAGTAAGGTAAATTTAAAAGAAAAAATTTAATTAAAAGCTAACAATAGTATTACAAAAAAAAATGCGATTTATTGTAAATAAATTGTTGTTGTCTAATTAAATTTTATGAGATTCAAATTAAAAACTTTGACAATAAGAAAGAAAATATCAAAATCTTTTGTGGTTGCAATTCAGAAAATATTTTTTATTGTTATTTGTAGCAAAGATAATTTAATAGGAAAAAATAGCTTGCCAGAAAAAATTTGGAATATTTTTTAAAACAAAAATTAATGTTTTTTAATCAAATTTATAAAACTAAAATTAATAATATTCGAATCAAGAAAGAAAATATCGAAATATTTTTTTTTGTAACTAAGAATTTATATGGTAAAAAATATGGTGTAATATTTCATGGTAAAAATTAAATTGAGGAAAATTTTTTTTTTGCAAATGTGTGTTTTTTGTTAATATATTACAAATAGGTGTTTTTTAATTAAATTTTATAAGATTAAAAAATTAAAAAAGCAAATATTAAAATAATTAATTAATATATTTCAGGAAATAAGCGCATTAAAGTATTTTAAGAAAAATTTATATCAACTAATTATTTTTGCTTTGTATATTTGAATATAATAAATTTCACTTTATGTACTTACCAAATAATAGAATTTTTGTCACTTGGATATTAGGTTTTCGAGCATCTTAAACTATTTATCATAAGCCTGAAAGAGAAAAATATAAGATTTAAGAGACGATACCGAAAATTTTGTATAAAAAAATATTGTATAATTTTATGGTCGTACATAAGTAATATTTGAATAGAGAATATAAGAAAATAAAAAAAATTATAAAAAATATATTTTAAATTATGATAAAATTAGTAGAAATGAGTACAAGTATGAAAAAAAGGCAATAACAATTAATTTGCGTGCCCACAAAGTTGAAATTAACTAAAATAATCGAGAAAGGCAGCTAAATGCCATTAAGAAAATATATATTACCAAAAGTTTATTAACAAAAATTTAAAACAAAATAAATACCACCATCTTAGACTACTAAAAAAATGCAAATTACTGCTTCTGATCATATGATTTTTGCAACTCGAAATAACAACAATAATAATGTCAACGTACTGAAAAATTTTTTTTTCTCAATTTTTTTTCAGTCTCTCATATTTAATATAACGAAGCTCATAATAAATAATAATTATAAGGAATAAAAAAATATTAATAATAATTAAAAGTAGAAATTAAAAATATAAATTGCCTGGCATTGCTTTTCCGAGTACCGATTTATACAAAATTAAATACATCACTTTAAATAGTATATACAATACTTTATACAATAATATGAAAACTTGCAAAAACAAAACAACAAAAAAATTAAATTATTATAAATATTTTTTTAAATTTTTTTAAAGGGGTATTCTAGTCTAAAGACACGAAGTTTAGGTAATTTTTAAAGTGTCGTAAAAAAGGCGATCAATATTTGTACTTTCGATTTTTTTTATCAGTTATTTATTACATTAATGTTACAAGAGTACAAAAAAAAAATTTAAAAAAAGTTTAAAAAAAATGGCAGCTGATAAAGGGGGGGTCTCAATAACTACCGATAAGTAAAAAAAAAAATTCTCACAAAATGGTGGCTGTTTGAAAAAAAACGATTTGTTAACCATTTTTTTATTTTTTCGTATTTTTTAAGAGTAGTAAAAATTTAAATTTGAGAATGAGCCTAGTTCATACTCGAGTGAGATCTATAAGGAAGATTCTATGAAAATTTCAAGTAAATCGGTACAGTAGAACTCGGGAAACGTGGGTATCGTATTGAAAAAGTCTGGTCTGAAAAAAAAAACGCATTTAAAGTTTCGCGTAAAGCCTTTTGTTTGATTAGACCCAACCGTTTTTAGAGACCGGGTCAGTAAAATGTCTATATCTCCAAAATTTTAAAAAATTCCCTCGTGGACATATTCTTAAATAGTTAAACACTAGAATACCCCCTTAATAGTAATGCGCTAATATTATAAACTATTTTGTAAAAGCGTTGCCCAAGTCGGCAAAAAATTGTTTCTAAATGCGAAATTAACTTATTTTCTATAAAGTCACAATAAATATTTTTTTCCTTTAAAATTACTGCACTACATCACAATTTTTTTCTGTTCCAAAATATTTACTAAAAATATTTAAACTAAATTTTGAATACAAATATTTTATTAATATTTTTTTCATGTTTTAAAATATTTGTTAAAAATATTGCAAATCATTTTTAAAAATAATTTTTTAAATTTATTTTTGAAAATAAGTTTTGATATTAATTTTTTTCATATGCAATAAGTTACATTTATTTTATGAAAATTGATTTTTTTATGTTATATTTTCACAAATTTTGTTTTCAAAATGTACATATTTTAATTACCATGGTTGTACGGAACACACAAACCAAAGCTACAGCGCGCTCTTATAGCATTAAGTTTATATATACCTACTGCCTACATATATCATAGAAACTTCTATCTCTGTACTTTTCGGCCAGCCGGTGTCACCCTGTGTCATTAGTGCACATGCGACAATTTTCACAAACCACATACAAACACATATACATTCGCATACGCAATATATATCGAATAATAGTAGTACATAGAAGCCACTTGAATTGCTTAACAGCGTTTTTATACATACCAGTATTGCCATATGTACTAAAAGTACATGCATGTGTGTGTATGTATGTATGTACCATATGTCTGTATGCATGTTTATCTATTCGCTGTATCCTTCCACTTGACATCCATTTCATTTTTCATTTCAATTTCATGCCACTATCCGTTATATCAGAGTTAAGTAAACTTTGGTTTTTACTGGCCAAATACCAGCTGTTGAGAGCTTGGGAGGGTGAGTGAGTAGAGAGCCGGTTATGGTAGAGTGATAAAATCACATTAAATTGATTTAGTCTGTTTTCATTCCCGAAAGACACATTACCGCTTTCAGCAATTCAGTGCACAAGCAATGAAATAAGCACGAAGTTGGTCTAAAAAGGACAAAAAAAGCAAGAAATAAAAAATAAACGAAAAATCAAACGAATGAGCCGAGCAGATGAGATGTGCTGATTGAAGTTCTGATTTTTATTTGCAATTTTTGCTTGGAAGGTTTATAGCAAGAGGAATGTATGCGTTTTGGAGAGTACATATGTATGGGAATGGGCGAAAATTGAAAATGGCGGAAAAATTTCAGTAACTATTTTCTTAGAATTTTTGCGCAAAAGATTTTTTATTATATTTGCAGAGGTCGAGATATATTATTTAGTTTTTTTTTTTCAGTCTTCGATATTATTTCTGAACATCAGCCGTCCTTATTTACATTGTAACTTCACATATGAAGGTTTATTGATTCGCCAAGGGAAGCTATTGTATGCAAACACATTTTTAACTACGCTATTTTTCTAGGAGCCTAATTCTTGGGATCTAAACCAAAGAACTACATAAACCAAAACCCTTGAGAAACAGGTTTTTACTTTGCTTAACAATGTTTGTTTTTGCTTGAGAGTATACTGTTCAAGGTCTAGTTGTATGTTCCACCTCCCGGAGAAAATCGTCATATCTCGAAAAAATAATAAGTTACTCCTCTGGAAATATTTTCTTTTTAATGTGGTCTCACTTACTATGTGAATTATTACTTCAGACTGCGGCATAGTACTCAACTCGAAAGTACTTGAATTCGCTATGTATAACAATACTTTTTCTTCCTGCAGCGACTGACTCCAGATCTCGGCTTCATCTACGAAGTATTCAGGGCACCGACGTGAGACATTTTTATTAGTGAAAAGAGGCTGCAACGCCATAACACCCATTTTATTGATTTTAAAAAATGTATGGTAGATAGAGCTGCTAAAATGAGCGTAGTTTTTTGAGTATTTACGAGTGTGTCAGAACGGAGAGATTGTCATGAAAACATTGAGTTCAAAGAAAACAAGCTATTGCACACATTTAGTTGAAGAAGTTCATTTAGTACGGTTTTGACTATTATATGTAAGTACTTGACACCGAATTGGAGTTCACTACTAAGCCTAGGTAAATTAATTGAGACTTTGTTGAGGTCTCAAGAATATCCATATATCGCCATTATTCACTATTCTGGCTATCGAACTACAATACTTTTTACAAGTAATATTGTATACACGGCTCTTTTGACGACCGAAAAGTTCTTTCTCTTCTTTGAAATTTACCTGCTTCTTACATGAGTTCTTTTGGACAAGGACATTGTATGTACTCAAAATTTGATTATTACCAGTTTTTCAGTTAAAAACATTAAATTTTGAACACTAAGTCAAAAAACTTGTTCACAAATCCGTTTAATAATGTCAGTCATGATTTCCTTAAGCTGTCTTCGCGGCATCAGGACTTTGAGAGTGTTTAAACGAATGATTAAATAATACAAAAAAACGTAAACTTCGACTGCATTTCTTATATCATAAAAGGGTATACTCGTTAAAAGATCTTAATCTCGATTTTGATCCGCTGGTTTTTATGGCGGCTATAAGCCATAGTGGTGCCATCTGAACACTATGTTCGGAGATTATAACCTTGCCCTGGGCTATAATTACTGCCAAATTTTGCGAAGATATCTCATCAAATAAAATTTTTTTCCATACAAAGTCTTGATTTGGATCGGTTTGTTTGTATGGCAGCTATATGTTATAGTGGTCCGATATTGGCGGTTCCAACAAATAACAACTTATTGGGAAGAAAAGAACTTCGAAATTTCAGGTCGATATTACAAAAACTGTGGGATTAGTTGCGGTATATATAGACAGACGGTCATGGCTACAACGACGCAGGTCGTCAGGCTTACGTTATGGAATCTCCAATGTTACGTTTTGGGAATTTGAAATTTCGTGGAAAACTAATTATATTCTGTACGATTTAAAATTCTTTTCTTCTATCGAGGTCTGACAGTCCTCGGATTTCTTTACATACATGAGCGCCTTTCTTTGCAATTTTCGCGAATCCAACTACACAATAAAATCAAAAAATAAATTATTATCAAAATTATAGCAGTATATACCTTTAGGTTAAGAGCGAGTATCAGTTAACTGTATATATGTATATATAATACATATGTACATGCATATATGTATGTAACGCCATATAATTGAAAGTAGTTAAGTTTTATTTATTGCAATAAAATCAGAGTCCATTTACGGCTAATAATAGCGGCGATTTCATTAGAAATGATTAAATTGATTGCGTTTATAACCATACATACATATACATATACATGCATATAATATGTGCATGAGAAGGCGGTACAAAAGGCATAAATAAGTGATTGAAGGTATATATGTACATTTATATATAAAGGAGTATATATTTTTCAGTGCTGATATACTAAAATTAATATATATGTATATATATATATATATATGGTATTTGTGTATAGATAAGGTACATATTTCCGCAATAGCCAACGCAGCTTTAAAATACTTATAAAAACTTCTAAGTACAAACTTCAACTTTGCGCCTCGAAAATTTTCAGCTTTAACGCTTCACACTTCAATTTGCTTGCCGCAACCCAGCTTGCCCCCACACCACCGCAGCCGCTTCCGCATACGTGTATAAAACCACAAAAACCGCAGATGATCCGCATGTTGAAATTTAAACATCTACAAAAGCTAACAGATATGATAGCGGAGGGGGTGCAATAAGAAGAAAAATCGCAACAACAACAAAAAC